ATATATGCGCAATATTTCACTGAACTGTGAACTTAAAGATAATCAAGAAGCTTGTGGAAGTTGTTTACTATACGTAGATCAAACGATTGTGGAAGCTTTTGATAATAATTGTAGTTAATGTCTTTGATAATGACACTATTTATGGAAAACCAAATCTCAACTATAATTTGAATTAACAAACAATAAGTCTAAAAGACAATCGAGAGAAGAAGAGAAAGGATTACGTAAATTTAGTCTTGCATTACTTTTGCTGGTCTTATCCAACAATTCTATTACATTTTAATCCTTTTGCTGGTCTTATCCAACAATCTGATTCCAGAGAGATTAGAAAAGATTAAATGTTACAGCTGCTTAATAAGAAAAAAAATCAACTATTTTTAATAAGATAATATATGTCCTTTACAGAATTAATTAAAATATTTGATTTGTTAAATCAATTAATGTGTTTTCTTAAGAATATAGTTAACTATATCTATATTGCCTACATTATTTAGTCAGTAGTTAGCTATTTTGTTTGCATATTAGCTTGAGGATATTAACGAAAATTCATAAAAAAATACTACTTTTTAACTTGTTTGAATATTGTTTGATCACTAGTATTTTGTAATTTTTTTTTATAATTGGTTAAAGTATTTTTCCTTTATATATTAAATAATACATTTTTATAAAAAAAATTAGTTTTTTAATATTTGCATTTTTAACTAAATCAACTTGCATTTTGAAAATTCCAAATAAGTTAAGAGGTTTAATTTTATATCTAGATACTATTATAGAACTCACCACTAATATATAGAACTAGAACATAATCACGTCCCTGGGATTATCAAAGACTTTTGAATATAGTCTATATTATAAAGTATGTCTGATTGCTCTAAATTATATAATCACGTCTTTCAGATTAACAAATACAGTAGTTCATATATTAAAATATGCCTTATTGCNTATGTTATTGTGTACGCACATCTTTGAGATTAACAAAGACTTTTTGAGTAAAGAGAGAAGATATCGAAAGGAGCCTAGCTTTGACATTTTGAGATCCAACTTTTCTTCTTCTAATCTCAAAAGACCTTTGAGTGGGGAGGGATAGACTCAAAGGAGCCTTTAGCTCTGATATTAGATCCAAACTTTTGTTTTCTTTTTCTTCTTCTAATCTCAATAGACTTTTGAGCGGAGGGAGACAAAGACTTGAAAAGAGCATAGCATAGATTCAAGTTTTCTTCTTCCTTTTCTTATTTCTAATATCGTAGTATACGACCATGAAATCTGAGGAAGTGGCACTACCATTGATTCACAATCATTTCATGATGCCTTGGAATTACCTGGGGAAAGGTAATTGTTGTGGACGCTTTGAAGCTATCACAGATGGTTACTACTGTGAAATCTGTGATTTTTTCGTCCATAAGAAATGTAGCGAGTCCTCCGAATTTACCCAGCACCCATTTCACCCTGCTCACGCTCTCCAGCTTCGAGGTAGTCCACATAATATTTGCGATTTATGTGACAAGAAAATAGAGAATCTATTCTATCATTGTGAGATCTGTGACTTCGACGTGGATTTATACTGTGCCAAGTACCCACCACCAGAGACTATCGACGTCTCGGAGAAGCATCATCACACTCGTTCCGGCGTTTAGAAACTCTCCGGCGACAGAATATTCCGACGAGAGGTGTGTAACAGAAATCTACAAATAAGAAGAAACTCTGAAATCGAGAAAACTGAGACGTTCGAGAAGAGGAAGACGAAAAGAAACACTCCGAACTGGGCCCTAGGAATGGGCTTTTCTAATCCAAGTGGAATAATTTAACTTAGCCCAGACTTAAAAGCCCAATAAAATCACAAATGTTATGTCTTTGGGAAAAAAAAAATGATTTATTGGTTTTTTAATGGTCAGATTCAAGCAGCCAACATGCATCCACATGCAGTGTTTGTCTCCCATTTTTGGTTGCATTTGATGTTACGTAGACAACAATATAAGTGAAATATTAATTATATACATACGGGTGATTTACTAGAATGACCTTGTCAAGCAAAGATTTGGATTAAAATGACTTCTATCTTTGAATATTATTAGAATGACCTTGAAAATTTTTTAATTCCTATGTTAACCTTATTTCATTTGAAGACAAAAAACGTATTTACGAAACTGCCATTAATGAAGCCGAAATTTTTTCCCGCCAAAATTAAATAAGTCTACTATTCTGTTACGGTAGACTTATTAAACGTCTGGTAGACTTATTACGGCGTACTCGATAGTAGACTTATTTATAGTTGTGGTAGATTTATTTATAATAGTGGTAGATTTATAATATGTGGTAGTGGTAGATTTATAATATGTGGTAGACTTATTTGTAGTAGTGGTAGACTTATAATATTTATTTATAGTAGTGGTAGATTTATTCAATGAAGGACAANATCNTAATTT